AAAATTACGATGGAAAGTAGTTGGCTGTTGTGTCGATGACAACTTGCACAGTTGATTTGATTAATACTTTTTCCGAAAGGGAAATTACAAGGGGAGTGCCTGGCTGTGTGTTGCAGACAACTTGCGCAGTTGATTTGATTAAAATCATAAAGGAAAGGAAAAATGAGCACATGCAAAAGAGTTAGATCCATGGACGGTGTCTGAACTGAACTGAACTGAACTAAACTGAAACTAAAAGTAGGGTTGGGCATTTTAAATCGAATGGATAAGTTACTCAAAAATTGAACTGAAAAAATGAATTCGGTTTAGTTTCAGTGATTTTTGATTTTTAGTTTTTTAGTTTTAATATTAATCGAATATATTTGATTTAGTATGATTGAATCCTTTAAAAATTGAAAATAAGTCTTTTAAAAATTGAAATTAAGATAAATATAATAAAATATGTAATAAAATATAATATATTATTAAAAAATAATTAATTATTATTTGTTTATCAAAAATCAAAATCAAATCAATTTTATTAATAACCAAATCTATCAATTTTTAATAATTTCGATTCAATTTCAGTTCTCAAAATTACAAAAAAAATTTAATTATTTTAAAATCGATTTTAATTTTAACCAAAAACTGATTTTGCTCACCCAACTAAAAGCACAAAAGTGTAACAAAAATCCATGTTCACATCCCAAACGATCAAAAAGTCATATCCGCTCAGAGATTCCTGGAAGATAACTTTCTTTATATCACCTCCCCACTATTAGACAACTCAATTTTTTTTCTTAATTTTATTTTCTCTTCTATTTTTTTAAGAAATAAAAATAAAAATAAGAAGAAGAAAAGTAGCCGCACCTTGACTTTGCTTCTCCTTTGACCCACGAAAGAAATCATTTTTTGCCACGTGTTCCAACTGAAATTGCCCTCTATCCAAAGCCATCACGTGTCCGTACAGACCAAGGCCATTTTTTTTTTCTTCTTTTAATGCTTTGGTTAAATTCTCATTGGTATACGTCTTACGACAGGGTTTGCTTTTTCCATTGCCCACATGCGTTTGGATATTTAAGAATGCAAAGAGATCAAACTTATCATAATTAAGGTTGAAGGATGAGATTAGGATAACGGCGAAGATGATAATGATTACGCTGGTGTCATAACATATATATTAATCAACAAGATATTTACTAAGTTAATAGTACTATTTTAAAAATATTTTAATATATTAACAACTTATCAATTTAATCTAAGTAAAAAAATTTTGATTTTTTTAAAATATATTTTAATTTAAAATTTTATGAATAAAAAAATTAATATTAAGAGAGTTTTTATCTTTATGAGGTTTAATATGATTATTTTAAAATAATTTTAATTTAATATAATTTTTAAATATTAAAAAATTAATAAAAAATATTTTAATATTAAAAATATTGAGAAGTTTTAATTTTTTTTTTAAAGACATTATGTAGTGATTTTTCATCTTCTCATCTTAATTTTTTTGAACATATTTTGTAAGGGGCTGAGGAGAATGCACTGATAATTAATGTCACTAGACTTCAAGGTCCAGATGCCTTCTCATTTTAATTTTTTGGATAAGAATTTGGAATTAGAATAATACCTTGCAGAATTGGCATTGACATGATTCTTCTGACCAGCTAAGTCCGAACTTCCAAAGCAATGCTTGTGTTTATCTTTCTGGTTGCTCTATTAAATTATAGTGGTACTTAGTTAAAGGTAGAATCAAGATGATAAGAGTAAGAAGATTGTGCATTTTCATGATTTTGTCTTTTGAGTTCTTTAAGATCATACCCTTATCTTATCCTTTCATTAACGTCGCAATCTTGTAGTCCTCTTTTACCACTTTCTCCTCCTAATTTGTGATTGTGTTTTCTGTTTTTAAAAAATGAAAAGGGTTAGAGGAAAATTATTTCTTTTTTCTTTGGACAACTAAAATATATAGAATAATAATAACAAATTTAAGAATATTTTTAGTTTTGAAAGAAATAGAGAAATAGGGAGGGAAATGAAAGAACGTTATATTCTTATATTTCTTTTTATTATGTACTTTAATTTAGATGAGTAAATAAATTAAAATAAAATAAATGATTTTCAATTTCCTTTCCCTCTTTTTTAATTTTTTATAATTAAATAAAATAATTTTTTCTCAAACCAAACATATCTTAAATATTTTTAATAAGTTAAAATGTGAAAAATTTATTAAAAATATTTAAATAATTTTATAGATAATTTTACCATAAAATTTATTAAAAAATTACTATTACTTTTCTCAAATAAAAATATGCTTATATAAAAACATACCCCTTTACATTTCACTATACCATAACAAGATTTGAGTTTAATATATCCAACTTGATATTCTTTATGGATTGAACTATTAAGTTCTTTTTTTTTTTTTTTTGAGGAAAAGAACTATTAAGTTCTTAATGGATAAAACAAAGATTTAATTGTGTTTTGAATTATAAATTATATTATTTTTTTATATAATTTTAAATCTTACCAAATTCTTAGGTTTTTCTTTTTTTGTTTTACTAATTTTTTGATATCCGGTAACCATATTGAATTTTAATTAATTTGAAATCGAATCACATCAGGTTGCATAAGAGAGAAAACCCTTTCAGTATCTGTTTCTCTATTCATAAGATTCAAATTTAAAATTTTATTTAAAAAGAATTGAATTTATTTTATTCAGAGTAATAGGTCATTAGTCTTTAAATTTTTCATTTTAAATCTAGTTCTAAAACATGATTATGATAACACAATAGTAATTTTAAAAATATTATTTTTTATAAATTTAATTGTTAAAATAATTAATAATTAATAATTAATTATTATTTAATATATTTAAATTAATTTATAAATTAATATATTTAAATACTATAATTAATTATTTAAAAATTATAAATTAATGAAATATCAATTAAAATAAACAAAATTTATTTAATCTTAAGTTCTTAACAAAAATATCTTGTGGCTATAACCATAACCACATCCCCTAGCTGTCTTCCGAGGTGTCCTGAGTTAACTTTCTTTTTGAGTTTACTTCGTGGAATGAAAAGTCATCTCTTTAGACTTTAAACAAGCCTTATGAGACTCAGACGCGTGTTTCCTACAATTATTCTTGAAAACGTGTGTTTGTGTTTTCTTATTGATGATTGTGAGTTGTGTACGAACAAAACAACTCAATTGGATCATGCTCTCAATTCTTATAGCACAACTTTATTAAGC